AGGCGGCGCGGGCTCGTTGGCACCGGCACGGCAGCGGCCTTGGTCGGCGAGCTCGGGACGGGGACGGGCGGCGCATCCGAGCCGGGGACGAAGTGGGCGTCCGACGCCAGCGTGCGATTGGACGGGAAGCTGTGCATGCGGTCGCTCTGGTGTCCGAATGTCCGGATCGAGCCCGGGTGCGCCTGCGTGTGCGCGCTCTCAAAGGTTGAGGTTGCGCTCTGCGCGCTGGCGCGGTTGTTGACCGGCGCGAGGCCCACGGGCGGAGGGTACGCCAGCTCGCTCTCCGCGCTCATCGGGGCCGTGTACACGCTCGCGTTGCCCGTGGACGAGTTGGGCGTGTGCGTCTGGTGCGACGTCTGCGTGTTCTCAACCGGCGTCGAGGGCTCCGTCTCGAACGGGTTGCGCGCGACGCCGCCGTACACCCCGTCGTGCCCGAAGGAGGACGTCTGGTGCGTGCTGTCCTGGTCCGAGGCCATGGGCGCAAACGCACCGCCACCGCCGCGCACCTCGCGCACCGGCTCCGAGTACGGGTCGACGTGGTAGTCGGCTGCATTGTTGTTGCGGCGCTTCTTGCGCCAGCAGAAGGCCAGCAGCGCAAGAAGCGCAATACCCGCAAGCACACCAATCACGATGCCCGCGATCGCGCCTCCGGAAATGCCGCTCGACTTGCTGTCCGAGTCGGACTGCGCGCCCGCACTGGCCGCCGCACCGGCAGCCTTGCTCGACGAAGAGGCACCGGCCGAAGACGGCGACGCGCTAGGCTGCTTCTCCTTGGTACCCGAGGACGTGGCGGCAGAGTTGGACGAAATAGCTGACGAGGACGCTCCGGTCCCGATGATGTTGCTGAAGTCCTTGACACACGTCATGTTGGCGTCGGCAACGATGTTGAGGGGGTAGCTGATATCGCCGCCTGCGCCGTCGACGATCGCGAGGAACTTGTACTGTCCCGGGGGCACGTCGACGACCCACTTGTATGCAACGTTCGCAGGCCAGTCCTTAACAATGCGCTGCGAGATGCGCGTACCCGACTGCCGCTTGACAATCTCCTCGAGCGGCGCACTCCGGCGCGCATTGCCGTTTGGCCGGGCGAGTGTGCCCGCCGTCGCCTCGGGTGCAAACTCGGGGTCGGCATTAACGGCCTCCTCGTTGTAGACGTACAGCGTAATGTTCTTCTTCTCGGGGTTCGGGTGGTAGTGCCAGACGATGGGCTGTGTCTGGCACGCAGTGTACACGGACGACGGGTTCATGTCGAACTGGAACGTCGGCTCGGTCGGGGTCGGGGTCGGCGCTGCTGCTGGCGGGTTGGAAGTGTTAGGCTTCGGGTCAGCTGCGGCAGCGTTCGGCGTCTCGGCAGCCTTGGCGGGAGTAGCCGGAGAGGCAGCCGCCTGCTTGGCCCCGGACATGACGGGGGCGCCGCCACCAACTGCGGCCGTGGGAGTGACTGCCGGTGTTGTGTTCGGTGTGTTTGCCGGAGGAGCATTAGCGGCCGGGGGCGCCGCCTGCGCCGCGACCAGCGGCAGCAGGGACGCCATGACAGCGAGGGCCAGCCTCATGATGTGAGAAGAACTAGCTTTGCTGTCGATTAGACGTGATACGTCGAGTGTCAAGTGGCGACTTGTGCGACTTGGGTGTGTGTCGTACTACGACTGCGTCGCTGATTGATTCTGGTGATCAAAGCGAAGGAAGGGGGTGCGTGTGACTCTGATGCGGTGTTGCGGCTGCAGTTGCGCAGTACGGGTCGCGACCTCACGGACAGTCGAGCGGTCGGTCTCAGCAGAGATTCACGGATATGCGGATCTCGGTTCCCAGACACAAATGCGTCGCGAATGAATCGGTCAGGAGTCGGTGATTCGCGAGGCGGTGCTTGGTGGGGGGATCGGTGGGATGCTTAATGGGAACAGAAGGAATGCGAAGTTGCAATGATGATGAGGGTGGTGATGATGCTGCGAGCGATGACAGATGTCAGATGATGCACAACGCTGAACAAGTGGGCGACGATCGATGGGCTGGGAAACAAGGTTGCCCCGATGTCGCTATGCCAGATGCAGTTGTCGCACTTGCAGCCTAAGAAGCGTGGATGGTGTGTGGATGTGATGCGAAACGAAATCGAAATAGAAGATAACGAGAACGGTAAACGGGAGTCGGGGGGGTTGGAGCAGCGCGCAGCGGTGCCAAGGCGACGGATCGTTCACGGATAGACGGAGAGCAGGAGAGCTTGGGGAGAAGGAGATGAGTGGGAGATGTTGGTTCGGGACCGGAAGCGAGGCTGTGCTCTGGCCGAGTGCGTTTCGGTGCCGTGGTGGTGTGGGAGTGACGGATTCGCTTGGCTCGGGATAAGCTTTCAGCTACTTGTTCAGAGTTGGTTTACACTCTGCACTCTTGGGCTTAAGCTCTGCGCGAAGATGAGGATGTGGGATCGCTTTTGCCGTATAGCTGTCGGAGGATGAGCGTAAGGCGGCAGCGGCACGGCGCGGTAGCGGTAGCGGTTTGCGGGATGGAGGGGATGGGAGGGGGTGAGGGTGGGTGTCAAGTGAGTGTCCGAGCCGGTCGAGCGCTGTTGACAGATGTGGGTGGGTGTGGGTGCTTGTTGTCTAGGAACGAGCAATGCAGGAACGTGAAGAGAGAGAATTGTTGTTGATTGCAGGTGGTGGTGGATGGGATGCTGGGCCGGCAGGGTCGAGAGGAGTAGCGAAGGCGGCGCAGCAGAGGATGGAGGATTGAGGGATGCCGGCAGACAGGCGCCAGGCACAGGGCGACGGCGGCACGTACGCTCCAGAGCCCAGGATGTGCGCGCAGTACCCGCCAGGGGAACCAGAGTCTATCTACAACCAGCGAATGACGACTGCTGCTGTGAAGAGAAGTCTGTGTGTTCTATGTCTGTGTTCTGTTGACCAGCAACAGTCGAACGAGTGGAGGAGGGGAACGAGCGGTGGAGGGAAGAGAAGGTAGGGGTGAGACGAAGAGAATGAGGAGAAAGAGGAAAGAATCAACAACCAAATGCGCCAGTGCATTGGGACATTGAGGAGGCTACCGAGCTGGCGCAATTCTGCAATTCTGCTCTGCACCTTGGACGTGCCGCTGTGCCAAGCGAAAGCGTGTTAAGCGCGTTCTGCGCGTCTGGCGCATCTTTTGAGGGCATAAGGGACATGAAGCCTCGGCCTTAGCAGACATCACAGAACGGAATACTACTGATGGTGAGTAGTGTGATATGATGCGACAGTAGTCCGGAAGGCAGCGCCCAACTCGAAACAAGGGTGGACAGAGAGTGGTTTCGTACACATACGCCCCGGCGATATGCACATACACCTCAGGGTAAGACAGCATGTCAGGCACAGACCCACTATTGTCAGGGTCCTAAAAACGCGAGTTTCACGTGGAAAAATACTCCCGGCACATACCGCGACGCGTTCTAACGAGTTGCACTCGTTCTTCTCTACAACGCTCTCATTTACCGAGAACTCGTTCTACCGGAACTAACGCGAATCAAAGCAGTAACTCGTCTCAATCGACATCTACAACACCCAACCTACACGTACATATCTTCAGAATGTCTGGAAACCTCATTCAACCTCCCCCAGGGTTCGAGCACCTTGGCCCTAGGGTGCGATCGCCTGAACCGCCCGAGGTCGTCGTTTTATTCGACCAGGAGCGCACTTTTGACGAATCAATGATGACTTTGGATGAGGAGCGTGCTCTTGAAGACGCCAGAGCTGCTGCACGTGTGCGCGCTCTCA